CCGAGAGCAGCCGCACTGGTCGTCCATCGGGTAGATCTCCACAGGCATCGACCAGAAGCTCCACACGAGAGCGCTCGAGCTCTGGAACATCGTCAGGCCGTTCCCGGAGTCGCCATGATCAATACCGCGATGACTTGGACCAGGCTATGGCAGATGGCACCCGCGGCGCGTATCCTGCGAACACAATGCCATCAATGCCTGGATACTCTGCTCACCCCACGCCTCCACTTCCTTCTGAGAGACCATCGCTGGATTCTCAAGGTCGCATGCGATCGCGCAGCAACAGCAAGACTGCCGCGGCGAACTACTTCGAGTCGAAGCATCTGCACCCTATTCAGACTAACGCTGGACCGGGTCAGAACACTCGTTTGCCTCCTGGGGGGAAATTCTCCCCTGGAATCCCTATTTCACCCCGGCCTTCACCAGGTGGCTTCAGCAGTGCTAACGGCAATGGCTTCTCGCACCCAACATCTCCGGTACCTCCGTTCTCCGCCAATCACACCCCTCCTGTCTCAAACCCCACTACACCCAACGCTGCCGCGTTCAACCCAAGTACCGTGCAGCCGTTGACCAAGACTGGAGTGCTACGAAAGAAGTCCATCGCGAAGTCGGAGATCTCGGAGCCGGTGTTCCTTTCTACAACGTCTTCGATTGACACCATCAATCTTCCAGCTGGTGCTTCTCTGAAGAATGGCATGGAAAACAACGCTCCCCCTGTTCCGCCAATCAACCCTATGAGGCGACGTTTCGGATTTGGCCGCGGTGAAAGCCAAAGCCAAAGCCCAACGGGTCCATCACCTTATGACCCTGCTGTCCAGCATGGAATGGATGGACCTCGAGCCCCTTACGCTGAGCCACTCCGCACCAACTCGTCCGACGCAGTGATGAACCAATCGCAGCAACCAAAGAGCAGACTGCGAAAGGCGTCCAGTGAAGGCAGGAGCCTGCGCGGTGACGCACAAAGCCAAATGGGACCCTCGCCAGCAATGCCTCAAAACGGCTTCACCGGACGCAATGGGTCACCTCCACGTCCTACCAACGGTCAACAGCCCATGGAGGGTGGCATGTTCTAAACGGCACCTCCGCTATACGAGCTGTTGCTCTGTCAGCAACTCAACATTCGTGATCAAAAGCGATCCTTTTTCAATCTTTGGCACATTTGGAAATCTCTTTTCTTTTCTGTATGTCTACTTTCGGTCCACGGATCGCCGTGTCTGCGATCACGGCCTTTTCTTTCCTTAATCTCTTTCGGCTTCCGGCTTAGCAATATACCTCCCCGTTCTGCGACTGCGACTTCTCTTTGCAAAGATCTCATTTTACGATCAACGATAGGGTTCTGGCTAGATTACAACCTTCACCGGGCTGGACACGGTGTTTCTGGAGGTTGGCGATAGCATCACACAAGTTTGAGTACATTCAGTAAGAGTCAGGTTCGGGAGGATTGCATGTTTATCGGAGTCTTCATGTACTGCTAGTCACTACAGCCTTTTCATAGGCTCACGGGTCAGCTCGTGCTGCCAGACTCGCGTCAACCAATTCGTGGTGTTGAATACAATCAATTGCCTCATACAACGGATCCTATGCACAGAGTTTACTCCGCCAGCGCACTAATCCGAGACCAATCGTATCATCACTATTAGACCTGAGCAGCGGGCGGCGACTGTTGGACGTGGGACAACGGTCGCAATATGTCTGAAACCCCCGCGCGTTGTTTTGGACTGGCTCAAGTACCGTGCCGCGTTTCCGGTTTCATCGCTGCCGAATGCATGCAGCGTCAACGGCGTTGACACCTTCACATGCAACATGAAGAAAAGCATGATTTCGTCACCATGCAAAAGGAATATGAGACGACATTGCCCATGTGCATAGGCGAGCGACTCACGAGCCCTGTGTTTCAGATGCCGCGAGAAGGGCCGTGCGCTGATTCGAGAACCTGGGATCGTCACGAAGGAAGATAAACTACGAAGTCTCGGCTCGAGACGAGACTTTATCGATCGTCGATACTCAGAAGAGGGTGAAAGATAACAATGGGATTGTGAGCGAAGGTTCTATGACAGAGAGATCGGATTGCCGTGAAAGGAGAAAAGGAATGTCGGTGGAGACAGTGATCTAAGGCCTGCATGCCGCTTATCGCGTACCTGCATCTTGCGATCCATTTTCACGCGTCGCCTTCCTTTGTCGGAACCAGGACGTCAGCAACACAACCCGGCGCTCTTGGTAGCGGTATAGTGGTGGCATCAAATTCCGTGCAATCTTGTCGACATTCAATGATGTGCATACAATCTTAAGTAGCGGAGCGCAAGATGTTACTCCAAAAGACTAAGCGATCGATGATGGAAGCTCCACGTCCAAAGTCCAGTCTACCGTAGCGGTGCACTACGCCACCGTGCCATTGGAACCGTCGACGGCATCTTCCCCATCCGCACGCCAAGGGGACATACTTTCGTCTAACGCAGGGTCGGTATCCGGTGCCGCACGAAGAACGCATGTCCCCCAAAGGGTTCGCTGTGCAAACAGAAAAGCAATTTAACAAGGCTGTCGGCAAGCGTGATGTGTGAGGGCAGAATGAGGAGAAGTCAGCAAAAGCCGTTGTGGTGTTCTATCGGGTACAGCATCCCTACACAACCAAGAGAAAAAGGTCTGGATTGCCAGGCGCAGGGCCTGCCAAAACAGCCCTGACACAGCTCCGCAGGCCGCCTGATTGGGCCGGCGACAAGAATTCGCACCGTCGCATTGCGCAGAGCAAAGAAAAGCAAGGCCGCCTCCCACCATCCATCTCCACAGCTGTGCCAGCACGCCGCTTAGCCAACGCTAAAGGACCGCAAGTTCGGCGCCATCCCAAACTCTAACTGCAACCTGACCATCCTTCTAAGGCACTTATCTTGCTGCGCGTTTGTCATATAAATTATATACGATTGCTAATTATTTTTTTAGTATTAAAAGTAGTAGTTTAGTGTTATAATATTACTTCTTAGATAGGTAGGCAGTGCCTAGTACTATAGAATAGTAGGAAAATTTAGTTAATAACTATAGTATAGTAGTAACTTAAATAGTTACGATAACTATAAGCAAGGTCTTAGGAAGCCTGTAGGTAGTACAAAATCCTATCTTACTACTCTTAGCTATTCTTATTAACTTTTTCTACATCTCTAAATATAATTATCTCTAACTATATAACTTTCTACTATCTAACTTAGCGTTATTTATATTAAGGCTAATTTTATTAGCCTAAAAAGTAAGTTGTAAAGTAAAAGCCTTTACGCAAGAGTCTACACTAATACTAATGTCTTACTCTATTATCTTGCCTCTATATAGTAGATAATTATATTTCTAGAACGCTGCACTAGTATATAGAGTATACGCATTAGGTATAAAGCTAATACTAATATTTTAGGTGCAAATTATTTTAAAATAGATTAAATCTAGGCTAAGGTAGTATACCTTAAGAACCTTGCGTAATAAATAGAAAAGAGTATAAAAGTGTTAACTTAGGCAGAGCGTTATTATGTCTGTATTATAATCTAGAATTATATGCGTGTAATTAAGCAATATATACTACTATAAGCAAGTATGCGGATGCTATTAGTATAGATAGGTAGACTAAGCATAAGATTTAATGTTGCTAGTAATTAGACTAGCAGCTAAATAACCTGTATTAAATAAGACGTTTTACTTAGACATTTAGTTTACTTTTTGCGTTTTTTGCTCTCTCGGAAGACATCCTTCCGAGGCACATTGCACACCTATGCGAAGCTCTCGCTGCGCATCCGTCGCCCGTAACTCGACGAGATACACCCCTCTAGAAGACGTAGGTGCGATCAGAGGCGCAGTAGATCAAGGAAACCAACAGCGCCCAGGGAGGGGTACTGGGGAAGATGGTCAACTGCATACCAAGGCTCTGCGACAAACCGCGGCAATCCCTGGGGACGATCACCGGGTAACTCCAATGTTAATCTCCACGAGTCTATTGCTGCGTTAGGGAGCAGGCTTGGACCAAGGTATTGGTTCCTAGAATCGAAATCAGTACATAGACCCCCTCTCCGTCCCATCGTTTTTCTCGCTCAACCCTGTTCCATCTCACTTCGACATTCCCTCACTCCAGTCCATCTTTCACATATCGAATACTATCACCAATACATATTATACCATATAATCAAGATGCGTTTCCAGGCTACCGTCCTCGCCGTCGCGGCTTCGCTCGCTTTCGTTGGTGCTCAGGATTTGAGCGGCATCCCCCAGTGCGCTGTATGTTGCCCTTCCTCCCCTATTGAGATCGGATCGGACTGCGGAGCCCACATCTCCACATCAAGACGATCGCGATCGCGATATGGCACATCTCATGTAGCATCACCAACTAACACAACAATCAACAGATCCCCTGCTTCGTCGCTGCCCTCCCCAGCTCCAACTGCGGTGTCACAGACACAAACTGCCAGTGCACTAGCGGCCGCTCTGCCATTGAGAACTCGCTCCTCACTTGCGCACCTGAGCGATGCGAGCAGAGTGAAATCTCCAGTACGTTTTGCATACCCTACATACCTATCATCTACGTCCATGTCTAACGCGACAACTAGGCCTCGCACCCGCTGTCTCCTCCCTCTGCGCCGCCGCCGGTGTAACCCTCTCCGACATCCCCACTGCCGTTCCCTCATCTGGCGCTTCCATGACCGGCTCAATGATGTCCAGCATGATGAGCGGATCCCCCACCATGAGCGGCTCCATGTCGCCCACCAGCTCTGGTGTCGCAGAGCAGACTGAGAACGCTGCTGCTGGCAAGCTTGCTAGCTACGGTGTTGTTGCCATGGGTATGGCTGCTGTCTTCGGATTGTAGATGTCGAATACCTGGAGGTGTGATGCGAAGGGCGCGTTGGTTGATTAGGAATTTGTAATGCGACAATCGCTTGTATATCGCAATTGATACCGTATCGTTCATTTCAGTTGCTGAATGCTTGACCCCGTGCGCAAGTGATTGGTGATGCTGGACTGGTCTCGGATTTTGTTCACGCAGCTTCGAGTGCGGTCGCCCATTTGCCAGACCATGCTGTGAACTCATCGTCTTCTCCTGCCCAGCTCTGCCTGACCAACTCAATTGCGCTGTTTGCCTCACCACAGCATTTGTCCAGAGTCTGTTTCGCTTCGTCTTCGTCGAGATCGTAGAACGCGCCTGCGATATCGTCGACCGTCTCAGGTATCGTCTTGAGGGTATTCACAAGCGCATCTAACTTTTTGCAGGGCGGCGAGGTCGCACCGTTCGTTGTGGTGGTCGGTTCGAGCGTAGACGATGCAGGATAAGTCTTCAACCTCCGCTTGATCAGTGCTTGGTAGAGCATGCCGATCATCTTCAGCTTCTTGACACTAGTATCCAGGAGTTCCTTCAGCTCCTTGTTGTCCTTGCCGATCTTGTTCGATGCGCCGAATATCTCGTCTTCGTCGTCGCTGCCTTCCGCTTCATCGTCGTCGTCCACGTCTTCGCCCCATTCTTTTAGCTCCTCGATCGCATCTAGTAAGACTGCGCGGTACTCTTGCGCTTTCTTGACTACTAGTCCAACAACGCCGTCTTCGCATAGCTTTAGCAGTGCGTCGCACACGTCCCAGAGTACACCGGTGGAAGACAAGACTTCTTGCTTCTCGCTCTCGGTGGGACCGGCGTCTTTACCCTTTGCGCTTTGTCGTTTCTCTGCCATCTTCAGGATCATGGCGAGAACTTCTCCCCATGTTCCCAGCAATCTCCGTACCTGCGCCTTAACTTCTGTGCGCATTATGTCTCCGATATCACCCTTCTGACCCTCTCGCGGTATATACGAAGCCGCGGTCACCATACTGTTCAGTGGACCCGAGGTCACATCGCCGATCTTCGCTATTATCGCGGAGGGTGTGAGGGGCGGGTTGATGAGGAGGAGGGACAGTGTGGTCGTATGCGATTTGAGGAGCTTAGTCGAGGCTCTGATAACATCTAGAGGATCTGCTATCTCCGTTTCAGACGAAGGAGCGGCATCTTTGGTGGGCGCGAGAGAGGATTGGTAGTGGGTGAGAAGTGCTTGTGTGGTTTTGGTAAGGTCGATGAGACTGCGTAGGTCTTTTGGTTTCGACATTGTGCCCTCCTTATTGGGAAGAATTAAAGAGTGTTATAGTCTTGGAGGCCGAGAATATGTGCGCAGTTCACGAGCCAAAGTTTGGACAGTATCAAAATTTTGGTGGGGCAGTGACTCTTAGCGGGGTACGTAGGTACATAGCTCCGTCATACCCGTAACACAGCGGACATACTCCGCAGATGCAGATGACTGTGTCCATCTCCTTGCCGCGACACCATTCCGATATACTGATATCTCGTTCTGTCCAGAAGTTCATGAGATCTTCGTCGATGTGCTGGATCCACCCTTCTTAAACCATGGGCAGTCCAGTCCGGACCCCCACGATTTGGAAGGCGAAGTCGAGGCAGTGAACCTCAGCAGACCTCGTATATGCTGCATCTCAGACACGACTAAACGAGGAAATGTGCCGCTGATGCATATATTCACATGTATGTGAGAGTCTGCCCCGACATTTGCTGAGGTCACAATGGCGTTCGTCTCCGCCCTCGTGCTGCTCACATTGAGCCTCGCCAATGGGGCTCGCGCACTAGGCAATGAAGGCTGCGAGGCGCAGTCGATGCAGTTCACCGGTTCTGCAGGTTCGACCATTCAAAACTTACTACATGTCATATCATACTCTCGTGTTGCAGGTGCATGCATTACGGTATGTTGAGCAATTACGCCTAGCTCAGCCATTCGTCAATTGGACCCGAGCGATATCGACAGCCTCGCAACATGAAGCTGGAGGACTCGCGATGAATTCCGTGAAGCAGAGCCTCACGTACTGGTGCAGTCCAGCCTGATGGTATATCTGGCAATCGCGAATGCGCGAAGGACATAGGTCCCTAAAGTGCACCTCAGGAATGTCACAGACCTCACCGGTATAGCCTTCTCTATCCGTTTACTCCAATACCAATCGTACCCTAGCACTCTCATCCGCCCATCGTACACCTCCTACGCAATGTCTTACGTCGAGGATACTTTTCCGGTCTATCGTCTTGATCAGGCAGATTTGCAGAAATACCTGAGCGAGCTGCACGGTTCGGGTGACTTCTACATTCAAGTAGGAGATCCTGAAATTTGTGTCGATATGTGCTGAGAATAGTGTGCAGGTCATCAATGATACGTACAAGTTCCGAATTCCGAAGAAGTTGGATGCGGTATGAATTATTATGTGATCAGTAATTGTACATATTCTGACCTTGAGGCAGAATCAGCGAAGAACGCTTGCAGGTCGACGGTGGGAAGATGATTGACAAGAAATGCTGGCAATGATCTTGTGGGGGCGGGCTGCATGATAGTCTGCCGCGGGGCTAGCTAGACAGGATGTCGTGGCGATGAGGGCAACACCGGACTTGGAACTCGGTGCTGCGGTCATGTCTAGTGCTGGTATATAACTTGGTTTACCCAATTTTGTTAGTGAGGCACTTTCCAGTTTCATTACTGACCTTCGATGCAATTGCAATGGATCAATTCGTTTCATCATGCAAGGAGTTCCGACGCTATCCTCAGAATCTCACACAACGATGTACCCTTAGCCATAGTATGGCTGGATACGCATCTCGGTTGCAATCACAATCCGAGTTTCTGTTCAAAGATGAGAAGGTAGCTGTGGACTTCCTCGATTATCGCGAACTGGACAATCGTAAGCACTCTATTACTGGCCAATCTTCGACGTACTGACCCCACTCAAGGCTTCAGCTCAGCATGCGTCAAAAACCAACGAGAGTTGGAACTCATACTTAGCTGTAGACACTCATTAACACCTGAGGCTGCCGATCCGAGATGTCGTTTCATGTTAGTTGGCTTTTTCTTTTTCTAGAGACTCAGCTGATGATGACAGATTCTTGACAGCTGGCCATGCTCGGGCACCATTGAAGATCACGCACGACATGTTCAGCTTTCTGTGTACAATCTATCAGGTCTCTCCTTCCTTTCTAGATTTCGTATTTCCTTTCGGGCTGAAGGAAGAAGCACAAGACTTTCACTTCAGTGGCTTGAAAGCAGAGTACCGGTTAGCGTCTTATGACAGGGCGTGTGTGCTACCAGACCTAGGCCGCTCGGGCAGAGATCTTCGCTTCAGCTATAATCTGAGATCCGTGGAACCGACGCCACCTCGATCAAAAGAACCTTGGTCCATCCGCCAGTGCGCTGTATACCATACCTTCGACGTGGAAAATGGGAAAATGCTCTGGATCATCGTCAAGGCAAACAAAGAAATCCAAAAGCGTGTGACTGAAGTGTCTGACGAGTCAACACAAAGCGGCAATCCCCTCGAGTGTCGCAGTAATGCGTTTGCGGCCGCACTACAAACACATCTGTTGTTGTGCAATTGGTCCGGAGAGAACTGGCGGTGGTATATTAATTATCTCGAAGATAAATTGCAAGCTTTGACAAGAGGTGTATCGGCCCTCGAGGTCGAGAGGAAGCCATCCCCGCTGTCATCGCCAAGGATCACGAGCCCAAAAACCAGCGTAGGCCCGTTTGCCAGCTTGTCACGATCTCACACATTGCGTCCGATTCTGACAGGACAAGCCTGGACACGGTCAAATACACTGCGAGAAAGCCCACAGACGTATACACGCACCAATACGACTACCTTTGATAACCAGCCTTGCAGTGTTTGGGCGTCAGCACAGAGAGCAAGCACTTCGCCCGATGCGAAACGTTGGAAATCGGCCGTGAACGATCTTCGCAGATTGTTAACACGGCCTTTACGATCTGATACAGTCAACAGCAGCTCAACTTTCGGAGACGAGAAGACGTTGCTAGCATCCCCTGAAACAACGGTATCGCCAGAGCTACCCTCTGTGTCTTCCGATGGCGGAGCAGACAAGGATGACAAGTTCACTTTCAAGAACCTTCAAGCTATACAACATATTGAGGAGAAGGCACAGGAAGCCATGCTTGTGCTAAAGCTGAACACTGAAGTTCTTGAGCAACTGAGGTTACACTACGACGAAGTTGCAGAGCATGCCGAGTTTCCTCAAGAATTGAAGGATGGCTGCAAGGCTAATCTCCATCGGTTCAACAAGGGTATAATTGGAGTAGAGAAAGATATGCACATGCTGCAGTCAAGAACCGAGACGCTGCTGCACCTTCTGGCTAATCGGAAGAACTTAGTAAGTACCCATACTCTCTCGCATCATCATACGGTTAGGGTGATAGTCGGATGCACCAAAGCTACATATATCGAAGCGAGAGACTGAGCATATGCTAATGCCGTGTTCTAGATGAGCGGTATACTACAGCACCGAAGCTCCAAAGCCAGCGAGTTCTACGCTAAAGAGTCTCGAGAATCCGCGGCTCGCATGGAAATTATGACCGTGAAGATGCAAGATCTTGCCATGAAGACGAAACAAGAGACTGTCTCCATGAGGGTTATCACCACCGTGACCCTCTTCTTTCTTCCAGCAACCTTCATCGCCGTAAGTGATCGATATCATATACTGGAAACACGTACTGAAGCTATTTAGACGTTCATGAGCACTGACATTCTCAACTTCGAACATGGTAAACAAGACCTGCAAATGCAAGGCCTCCGGCTATATCTCATGATTGCTCTCCCTGCGACGGCCCTGACCTTTGTCGCGTGGTACTTCATATATTACTTCGCCAGAAGGGAAGCTCGGTCGAACGATCAGTCCGAAGCAGTTGGGGAGGCCTGATCTCTTATCGTATTGCGTGTCAGTCAGCTATGTTACATGCGTTGGCTTTTCATTCGCTATTGGTAAAAGGTGTGGTTTGAGTTTGCAATGTTGCTTTTCGGGTATGTGGGTGGTCTCTTGGGAAGTCTGATTTCTGCGGCGTCAGACCACCAGGGCAGCAGGAATCGGAACGATGACGATGTCTTCTCTGTTGCACATTAGACTCATAGATTTCTAGACAACTTTAGATCGTGATCCTGTTTATTGAGATCTTCATGCGCTCGTATGATGAGTTTGTCTTCAGGCATAGCTCGAGATGAGAGCCGTTAGATCTGAGAGTTGATCCAATCGTCCAAAAGGATCTAGCCGGGGTTTCCAGGATCAGGATCGCTGTAGAAGCCGTCGAAACTTGCGAGCGTATCATGAAGCCTGGGCTTCGAGCCATGGTCAACAGCGGACCGATGCGTCTTGGCGGTTCCACGTTGTTCAACCTAAAAGCCAACTTCGTGTCCACAGGGCAGATCTATCCTGTCATTAAACCTCCGATTATCGATTAATCCTCATCAAAAACATATGCGCAGCCTTGAAAATCGTGATAATTTTATCGTGGTAGGTTTGTAGACAGTAGCTGTCACAGTCGCTCAGCCGCGTAGCCGCGTGGCCGCCAACTTTCCTGTTGTCACCTCTCCTTTGTTCGCGGTAACTCTTATTTCCTCTCATCACATCTCCTGCCAGCAAGTCTTTCATTTCTAGATGAAAGATGGCACGCTCAACGAAGGACGATGATGCAGCTGATGCAGGTCCGGTCGAGTGTGGCTTGAGGCTGCGGGCGGGGTCCTGTCCTGCTCGCTTTAGCGCAGACATGGAGCAGACCCCCGAGGGCCCTGGCTTCAGCCTGCCGCGCATACTTGCAAAAGCTCCAACCTCACATTGAGCTTACGTGCAAACTTCATACCGCCTCTTTTATCCTCCTAACCCTTCCTATACCTGTCGCGATTCGCGCCGACCGAGTATACCTCATGCGCACCGTCTCCTATAGCCACGATGGGATCCGAACTTCACGATTTCCTCGAGCGCGTAAACGAATGCACATCGGTCGCGATAGCTGAGCCTATGCCACTGGTTACCCGGCCGATCGTATCGATAGATAGGCTCCGATCTTATCTTACTACGGAAAGACTGCGAAAGCTCTTGCTATATGTAGACAGCTCCACCGGCTTCGAGGATGCTGTCCGGACCAGATATTTAGCTGTGTTCGCGGTTCTACTGTCGATAAATCAGGGTATCTACCTATCGACATTCGTGCATCACGATCACATGGCAGACGCAGGGCTACCTTTTCTTACCTGCGACGCATGGCCGGAGGTTTCCAAGACCATATTCGATGAGTTCTACCAAGCACAGTGGAAGTTCTGTCCAAAACGGCTCGTTTTTGGCCAACTGCACGACACATGGCTACATCGCAATGTCGTCGTACCTATGAAGCAAAAGACACTGTTGAGAGAAGGCGTGGACGCGGTGATCTTTAAGGTGGAGTTATTCGAGGAGTACAACCATCTCATCCCAGTAGGTCAACACCGTGCGCGCGCACAAGTCCGTACATTTGACGCAACTAGCTGACTTCTTTGTGCTAAGAACGAACTAAACATCCCCCCTACCAACGTATTCATCCTGAAATCAAGCCTATCGGGCTATGCCAAATTACACAACAACGAGGTCGAAGCCTACAGAACACTACAAAGCCACCCAAGTGGTCGAGATGCGATGCAACACATGGCCCGCTTCTATGGTTCGTGGGCACAGGGTGAGACTCGTAACATACTGCGCGAATTCGTTAGTGGTGGCACACTCACGGACTTTTTCGAACGAACCGAGCCGCCGACGACCAAGGCCGATATTCTGGAGTTTTGGAAAAACTTTATACAATTCATCAAGCCAATAGCATGTATACATCACTTTCCTAATCCGCACAACCATCATTCATACAAAGTGGGGTACGTCCAAAAGCATGGGTTCTCTCTTCTCTTACTTCGGACTGACTTCCAAAGGCTACACAACGATATCAAACCGGATAACATCCTCGTATCGGAGCGGAACGGGAATAGCCCGTATAGTGTCTCCTTCAAACTCGCAGATCTTGGTCTCGCCGGGTTTGTGGTGGCTGATGACTCAGACGAGACTCAACTGCGCGATGTCCACGGTACGAAGATGTACAGTATGTCGCCACTAAGTCCTTCACTTAGCCCCTACTAACTTGCTTCTAGGTGCGCCCGAATACTTTCGTGGCGAGACAGACAGGTCCAAGCAACAAAGCATCAAGCAAGCCCGTCCGGCTAAGGATATTTGGGCCTTAGCTTGTGTGATCAGTGAAGCCGCGGTATGGTCTGTATTAGGCCGAAGAGGGTTGATTGACTACCATCGCCAGCGCGTCGAAGCTGCTGAAGCCATTCCGGCTCTCAGGAACACAGGCTATAGCGGCTGCTTCCACGACACCACCAAAGTCCTCTCGGTTGTGGGAGAAACGCACAGGGAGGTCACCCAACGATGTCGAGCAGCTATAGACAACATTGTTGGGTCAGTCCTTCTTATTGTTAGCGGAATGATGATGCAAGATCCGGCCAGAAGACCAGATGCGTGGACAGTTTACGATGGTCTCACACAAGCCATAGACTTAGCGACACCAACGGCTCCCCCACCATTTCACGATACAGATCCACGGCCACCCACGCCGAACAACTACACTCGACACTCGGTGCCTGTTAATCTGTCCCCAAGCATGACGAACGGGTTGGGCTTCACTATGAATGCGAACGCGCGGCCGCTAGTCAGCGATACACGCGGGTATCAACCGGATCGTTTTCCAGAAAGACGCACAACTATCAGTGGAGATCGTTCCCCTCGTCCAGATTCTGGTTCATCGAGTACTAGACAGGGAAGGACACCGAGACGGGATGCCTACAGTCCAGCCCTCGATACTACGCATGAGATGCACTGGACTCCGCTGTCCCCTACCAACAGTGCTGTCCCACAGGCCAATGTACCTTCCGGTCGGACGGCCCGTCCTTCGGCTTCTGTCACCAGGGTCCTGAACTACATAACTAGGAAGAAGTTGGATAAGAGCACGGTCTTGCAGGGCGAAGAATGGCTGAACAAATTACATGGTAGAGATCAGGTATGCTAACATACATGAGGAACTTTTAGCAAGCTTGCTGACGAGATGTTACTAGATCTTCCTCATCGACGACTCAGAATCTATGCGACAACACTGGGATGACGTCAAAAGTACCTTCGAGGCTCTAGCGTACCTCGTCAAGGCCATGGATCCAGATGGTATCGAGTTACGATTCGCCAACAGTCGGAGATATGACAGCCGTGGGAAGGATCGCAAGGCACTCCTCAGGAATTTTGAGAAAGTCAAGCCCAGTGGCCAAAGCCAAATGGGTATTGCGCTCAGCAATATTCTCCCAGACTACTACCACAAACCGCACCAAAGCCAAGCCAGCAAGCGGTCATCCTGGTCTCCACGAGTAGAAGAAAAGCCTGCAGTTAACATTTACATCCTCACCGACGGTGTATGGTCGCCAGGTCATCATTGCCTTTCAACCATCAAAAACCACGTTACAAACCTAGTCAATCACCTGGTTGCGACCGGAAGGCTTCAACACGTCGGTATCCAGTTCATCCGCTTCGGAAACGACGAGACTGGTAAAGAGCGCCTGAATATCCTCGACAACGATGAATTGAAGCATTACAAAGTTCCTATAGATATAGTCGACACGGAGCCGTCTACTGGCAATATCTTCAAGATGCTGCTCGCCAGCACCGACCCTTCCTGGGATAACGAGCCCAGTAGCTAAGGAAGATGTCTACTCATAAGTTTTACGGGAGAACATCCCCTTTGTTTTTTGTTGTTCTTTCAGGTATGATGCGCATGATACCCACTCTATTCCGGCGTTTGGCGATATCGGCGTCGCATTTAGGGGTAGCCATGGCATGCTTATTAGCACACTGTTTAACTCTCACGGCTGGACAGGCGGACAACCGGGGTTGCACATAAACCATTGATATGATAATAATGAAACATCATGTAGAGATTCATGTGACGATCGTTTTGATTTAGTCTATACTTACACATCAGTAACCATTCCTTCTACACATAATGTACATCAATGTCGTAATCCTCATTCACCAACCACACCACATGCAGTCCATCTCAGTTATTCCTCTTACTCTTCTCCTTCGCCTTCTTCGCCTTCTTCCCTTTCCCGCCCTTCCCCTCCCCATCATCCTCACTCGCCCTCTTCCCATTCCCCTTCCCATTCGCCGCCGGCTCCAACGCCGCATCCGTATCCTCATCCTTAACCAGCAACTCATTGAGCGCATCATTAAAGTTCTCCATCTCGCAGATCTCGCCAATCTTGACGCGCATATAGTCGAATGCAATAGCGACCTTCATATCCTTGTTGCGCACCTTGATGACGCGGGCGTTTTCCTGGAGCGAGGACGAGGCTTCCTTGGGGAGAGAGGGTATGGGTTTAGCTGGGCCGGGAGCAGGGGCTGTGGAAGAGGGGATGGAGGGGTGCATGTCCATGTTATCTGCGTTTTCGGTGGTGGGGTCGACTTCGGCGTCGTCGTCTTCCATGGGCACGTCTTCGGCGATTTCTTTGGGGTTGAGTAGTGGGTCTGCTTCCTCGCCATCCGTGACGGTTTGAAGGACGGGGATCTTTTGGTAGCGCTGGCTGAAATGCGTGAGGACGACGGATTTCGCGTTCATCGCTGCGCCGATACCGAGTGCTTCGGAGGTGGTGGAGTGTTTCTTGGCCTTCGCGTCGCCTTGTAGTTCATCGTCGAAAGTCGCTTCGTGGATGAGGACTGTGGTGTCTGCTCCGATCTTGGCGAAGTGACCGCTTGGTCTGCAATCGCCTGAGTAGCTGACCTTGAGTGGCTTGATTTGTTCAAGGTCTGCTGGGTCACGTGGGAATGTAATCGAAACAGCCATGGCACCGTGGCAATGCGCTACTCTGGAAGCTTGTATTTCGTTGAAACCAAACAGTTTCTCATACTGTTTTTTCGGTATGGCCGCGTTCTCAGATAGTGTCTTTCCGAACGAGTTTAGTATAGACAACCTCGAGCCATTCTGATATTCGTTGGGAGTGATTTGAAGAGGAAGAATTCGACTGTAGCCAAAGTCTTCGATGGCTGAGTATTCGTTAAGCCATTGGAGCATACCACTGTGGGATACGACAGCAAGACCGTATGCGCTAGGGTCTATGTTGCTCGCGGAAGGGTCCAGGGGCTGGGGGTTTGGAACAGCATTGTGTGCTACTTGGTACCAAGCACGAATTACTGATGCTGTGCCTAGGTGGTGATCGGCATGCAAGTGACTGATCCAGATCATACGCAGATTCTTGAAGATATCGACAAGCTCCTCGTGGGGAAAGACTCTTGAAAGCTGGCCCAATGTGTTCTCCCCGCAATCTAAGAGGTAGTTGCCGATGCCAGGAACACGCACCAATGTGGAAGATACGTTACGGTACTTGGACGGAAGGGCAGAACCTGTTCCAAGTGTCGTTACCTCGGTGTCACGACGCGCTAGTAGCTTACTCCATATCTGCATCTCTCTGCTTTTGCTTTTGACCTCCGCTTGAGCCTTTTGAGCCAATTCGAGAACCTCAGGCGGCGTTGTAAGTGCCACTTCATCGGGTACGAAGAGACTAGATATAGTGTTTTTCTTTGTGGCAAACTGCGGCATGAGATTAAAGCCAAAGCCTCGGTCAGCGCGGATGGCTCCGGAGGGCAACGGCGACGCTGTCGACATGCCAGTCCTGTATATACTTGTCTGCGGTACAGTAGTGTTGTCGAAAACGGGTGTGCGATATCTTGACGGATCAATCTGCCCAAGTCGCGTAGCTTGTCCTGCTACCGAGTCGTGTGCGATGCGATTCGGCGCAGTATCTAGAGAGGATATTACGTGTTCTACGTTGTGGATCTTGTTCATGAAATTGAGTAGATCTGGGTGACCTGCGACGCCTGGACCAAGCATCCAAACGATAGCTCGAATGCCAGTCATAACCTCTGGAGAGTTAAGCTCTTCTCGTTGAAGAGTGCTTTCAATGTATTCAACTGAGGGGATGTCCAAGATGGCGATACCCTGACCGGGCCTATCAGCGCCCATGACCTGATCTGGGGTAATCATCTCGCCGTCCGCGTTCGGTACCGATATGCCATTGGTGAGCTTTCCGAAATCCGGTCCTGGTTTGACACCTAGCGCTTTCGCGCGTGCGACGTCGAATTGACCACGAGCTGAATGCGACCGCACGATGTACGAAACACACTCTGGTGCTGGCCTGGTCGGTGGTAGCGCCAGAATCATAGCGCCAGGCCACGGCGTCCTGGTCCAGACTTTAATGTCAGGAAGAGGCTCTTTGCCCCCTGGCATCGGCCCTTGGTAGGCCGAGAAGCCGTGTGTATCGGGGTTACGAATGAATATTTGAGCAGGCACTTGTACCTCAGAAATGTGGCGTTCTGCCAGTGTATCCATCTTCCAATTCGAATCGAACATGTACTTGATGGTCGCTGTTCGTATCCGGTCGTACCTTAACTCGCGGTCTTCCGGGCTTTCATTTTCGGGGGCCTGGAGTCCGTCAAATGTATTCTCGTGTTCGTCGAAATACCGTCGCCGCGCCTCCAAATCAGCCTCCGCTTGCGCATCGACTTCAGAGTTGACAGGCGCTACTGAGAGAGCCCAAACTTTGATATTGTCGTCCTCCCACGTCGGAACTATAGCACCATTTGCGTCCTTCTCGGGTGACTGCTTCACGTACTCGGTCGCATTGATGGGTATGCCCTTCCTGAATATGAACCTCCGACATGTTGCCAGTGTGTGTTTCAAATTCGGGGGGCCGTATATGTCGAAGTGCGGCTTCGCGGGTGCTTCGCCTTTCTTTCCCCGCTCTTGAGCCAGACGAAAGGTGTCCATGGCGGTGGTGTAAGAGCTGGTGGTCGAGTCGGCCAATGTGAGCATCATGCCAATCAATCCACCCATGTTCTTCCACTCTGTCCTGCCTGTCATGAAGAAATCTTGCGCCTTCAGCAGACGTGTGCCCTGCTGCACCATCGCCCGCTGGGTTCCCTCTGCCAGGTTGCCGAAAACATAGTGCTTGCTTGCCGTCCGTAGCACGAGCGTTGTTCCCGGCGTATCGGCCGTAGGCGTTGTGACGACCTCAACGCTGCACGACATGTCTCTTCTTCTCAAGAACTCGGTTCTATTGAACTCCGCAGGAGGCTTTGTATGTTTGTTCTTGGGCTCGGAGAGTTCAAGGTTCGGCGGTTGCGTAAGGGAGCATAAGGCTGATCCGATTGGAGCTTTGGGGGGTTGATATATCAGACGTGTGAGTACCTTCGCTTCTGCTAGGTGATTCGCCTTGCCGCTTTTCGTGTGTTTAGATGCAACTGGTTCAGGATCGAGGGGTAAGCGGTAGATCTTCGAAAACGTTCGAATGGATGGGCGAAACCGAGGAGTAGCTCTGGAGCGGAGAGTAAAGGCAGCGAAGTTCGTATGCGCTATGGGCCGACCGTATCGTGGGCGCAATGCGAAGAATCGGACATTAGTCGTAATGGTCGTAGCTCGCTCCGTGGCGCTAATTATGGAAGCCAACTTGACGAAGGGAAGGAATGACACGAGAAGCAACTATGTACAACCCTGGAAGCATCAGGGTGAGAGAGCGCGTGCAACGAGTCGAAATGATGCGCGTCACTTTTCGCGATGCGTCAACGATCAAGGCTAGATTTAGGCGAAGTAGAGGCCCGTGCGAACTAACCCCGAGCGGACTTGTTCCGCGACACACTAGCTTTCTGTCCATCACTCCATCTTGACCAAGACGCTGTTTTCATCGGGTATCATTATTCGTCTGAACTATACTACTTTTTTCCCCTCACGTTGAACCTTCGTAGGCCTCAAATACTCATCGCTTGACACATTCTAGGCATTCTTCTTCCGGAGTGCTCCACCATCAACAGTAATGTCCTGACCGGTCACGAAGCCCGCTTCGATGAGGTACAACGCAGCATCAGCGATGTCCTTCGGTCTTCCAGCCCTGTTGGTCGGGTGATCAGAGACGTCCTTCTCACTAATCTGGCCTGCCCAGTCAGCCCCGTTCTCATCGCCTTCCTTGCTCTCGTGTGCGACCTTGATGCGTCCGGGGGCGATAAGGTTAACTCGAATGCCCAAGCTACCCAAGCTGATTGCCATGGAGTGCATCAAACCAAGCTGACCTGACTTGCTGGAAGCATAGCCCTCTTGGTTCGGATCAGACTGATGCGCACGAAAGGACCCGATGTGGATGATGCATGGGCCTGCAGGACTGGAGTTGTTGGCGTTCTGGATGTGTGCGCCGTGTTCAACATCAGATGCTCGGGCTTTCATGTAGGGGATACAGGCTTGTGACATGGCGAAGGGACCAGTGAGGTTGGTGTCGATATACGCTTTCCACTCATCAATGGTCGAGAGGTCCTCCATGGTCTTGCCATCCTTCCACTGCGGAGACGCGATTCCGCCGTTATTGATCAACACATCGATGCGGTCGTTGAAGAACTTGGCCGCCTCTTTGACTTTGGCACGGATGTCTTCGACGTCGCGAAGGTCGCAGATCGCCGAACCAAGCCTACCATCGGCGTAGTACTGCTTGAGGTGGACCTTGGTAGTGTGCTCTAGCTCTTCCTCATCGATGTCGAAGATGTAGGCGTGGTGGCCAGCTTCGAGCATCATCCGAGTCAATGCTCGACCGATGCCTCGTGCACCACCAGAAATGATGATGTTCTTGTATAGTGCGGGTGCTGGTGCTTGGCCTGCCATCTTGAGGGTCTTGAAATGTGGAGTTGGTATTATTTGGTATGGAGACGTGTTCGCGGGGTGTGAACTTCGCGTAGGTGTTGTTTGTTTAAGTACGTTGCTCTGACGTCACGCCTCAACACATCGTTTATCGCCACGACGTGGGCTGCACGAGATCTTGAAATCGGAAATCTTTACGAGGATCTCATTTCTGCGGGTCTTACCCTTACTCAAATTTCTAGGCAAAAGACTTACATTGTGTTGTGTTGTGTTGTACAGTTTCTTAAGAGAAGACAATTTACCTTCTAAATGTAGTACGACTAGAGTACAACTTAACCATAAAGTAGACCTTCTAAGTACGATGATCAAAAGTAGTCCGCACGACAAGTGATATGATGTTACTAGTGCTTGATAATATCACATTCTGGTGAAATCTGGGGCCACCTTGGCTAATCATACATCGAGTGAAGAGAAGCTCAGTATCTTGAGCGTATGGCCACCTCATACAAGTAAGAACCTGAGCAGATGTGCGGACTGCACTATGGTAGGCCAAATTAGATAGAAGGTAGATAGAGATCCGGCGTGAACGTAGACTTTAGGGTGTTCAGTGTTTTTCGTGTATGATATGCGGCATGATACATGAAGTAGAGCCAGCTTCATAGTAACACTTGGGGTACAGCCGCCCCTTCCCGACCTGTCGAAACATTCGAGGAGATAAAAGTGAGCGGTGAGAGGGTAGCGACTGCCTCAGTTCAACGGTACCGCCCGAGGATGAGCCCACGTGGCAGGAGGTCGCTACCATCTTATTCAAACCAAGACTCAACAAGGCACTCACCATAATCAATTTCTCACTCCTACACATCCTGCCAACTCAACGCACATCACCACCACAAATACGTCTGCAACATGGTTCGCACCTCTACAGCCGCCGACCCCCAGTGCGTCCACGCCATGGTCGCTGAAGACGTTCTCAAGTTTATGTGTGGCCTCATGGTTTACGTCTGGTTCGCGATGGATGCCTTCTTCAACATGACCAGCGAGAACAAGTTCCCAGCGGTGTTGGCGTGGCTAGTGCTCATTCCGGTACGTACGCTGAAGATAAAATTCGTACCCGCTCTAACACATTTCAGTTCACTCTGTTTCTCCTTACAAACATCGTCGTTGTACACGTAGACGCGATCTCCAGGAAATACAAACTCAGCAATGACGCCGTCACCGGGCTCCAATACATACTCGGTTGCATCTACGTACCGGTATTTCTGTCGGTGTGTGCGGCGATACGATTTGCAATCCCGAAAGGCCACCTACTGGTCTGGTCTTCCTTCTTTCTGCTACCGGTAAGTCCTCGTGGTAGAGCCTGTATCGACAGTTCTAACTCTTCGTAGGTCTGTGGCATGCTCTTTGCCCTCGCCATCGACGCTAGGGCCAGGGGATGGTAGGTGGAATATCCCTGCCTGTGGATTCGGTTGAGGAAGGGGCGACTTCAAACGAAATGCGCAAACTTTTGAAAGACGGGGAGGCGGGGAACGGAAAAGCAAGAGATCAGACTCAATGGATAGAATCAATCATGTCACCATATTACACCTGAGTGAACGTAAAAATCGCATCCATAGATCTTTTATCAAAACACGACAACCAAATCCCTCCTGACGCCTGTGAACACCGAGTTCCGTCAAAGTACAGGTATATGACCACATGCATGCAATCGTTTGAAATCAGAAAAGCGCCGTCAGCCCATTGTAGCTCAACATTCCGTCTATTGCGAACGCTGGTAAACACCGACAACCATGGCGTGGTCACGCTCGAAGGGCTCAAGGGTGAGCTGCTCCTTGGGCTTGATGCCCATCTCTCGTAGCTTGTTGACTTCCTGTGCGAAGACGGCCTCGGGGGCAGCGGTGGAGTCGATACAGTTGGCCTTGATGGAGATGACGATACCACCTCCAACCTTGAGGAAGAGTCCGGCGTTGAGACCGACGATACGGGCTTGATCGGGCTGGGCAACGTCGGCGAAAATGCAGTCGACCATGCCGACGAGCATGCGGTACTTGAGAGGGTGACGGGCTGCGAATTGTTAGCGAATGTCAAAAAGATGGAACGCGAAATACATACCATCCTCAACGATGGGGATGACGTTGGTGCGGTGGGTAGCCATGTTGATCAGATCACGGCCGGAGCGATGGGAGAACTCAACAGCGAAGACGGTTCCCTCAGGTCCAACGATATCAGCAACGTGGGAGACTGATGTTCCGGAAGCGGCACCGAGGTACAGAACCTTGGAGCCAGGGCCCATGTAGATGTTGTCGACACCACCCAAGATACCAGCGGCCAACTTGGAGCGGAAGGGGTTCCAGACACGGTACTCTGTGCTGGAGGGGGCTTCGGTCTCGCCGTCCTTGGGCGCGGTGCTGGCACCAACGCTGATGCGCTTCTCGCCGTAAACGGACTCGCCGGGGGTCAAGTTCTTGGTAACGAGGAGATCCTCCTTTCCGCGAGCGACGAAGACACCGGCGTGACGATGGCTAGAGAAGTGGTTAGTAGCTGTCTTGCGCGCTTTTGAGCTGGCTGGACTTACGGCTCAACAATGACCTTGGCTCCTCCACGCGCTCCTCCACGGGCACCTCCTCGGGGCGCACCACGGCCTCTTGGAGCTCCGCGACCACGAGGAGCACCACCACGGCCACCACGGTCACCACCGCCGCGGCCTCCGCCGAAACCACCACGTCCACCCCTGGGGGTGAAGCCACCGCGACCGCCACGGTCACCGCCGAATCCACCACGTCCGCCACCGCCACGACCGCCTCTGTGAAAAGTTAGAACTGCGCTGCAAATAAATGTTCGTATATGAGTACGGAGAAGCTCGTAGTTCCTGGATTGTTCTGAAAACAGCTCAGAAAGAACAAGCTTCTCCGTAGCGTGGAGCGCGCATGCTGAGCGAGCAGACGTCGAGATATGTAGTATCTGCAATCACATCTTGCTCAACGTGCCGCGGTTCGCGCATTGTTCATATTGCGATGGGATTTCGAGGCTTGCGGAAGTCGTACCTGGGAGTGAAAGCCATTGCTGAAAGTTGTCGGGATAGTTCGAGTAGGTTATGGAATGCGAAAGCTACTGCGCGAGGTCAGTCTTGAGATGGCAGAGTACAAATATCAGTCCAAGTACCTCTGGGTGCTCTGTTCCACTATATGCGCGTTGACTGTGCGCGTTGGAGTGGCTGTGGGTACGGTATGTCGCGGTAGATGCGATGGGTGCAGCTTTGAAGTTCGCAGAGCTACATTTTTTCAAAAGTAGCGCCAAATCTGCGCAGCCAATCACGTGCGGGATGCGCAAGCGGCCCGCTATAATGCCGTGGGCGCGACTTTGGCTTTTTTCGGTTGGGTCTGCGACTTAGTCATCAAGGCCACTTTCGCTCGAGAAGTCGTCGAAATTACCTACCACGTCGGCAGTCCACTACTAACAACAGCACAACTCGACAAAATGGTACGTTGCCCGTCGCGATATACTGTCGGACTTTGCACGCACGAACATGGAATTAATTCTTGCAGGTTCGCTACGGTGCCTCCTCCATTGACGGCGCAAAGTCTGCTCGCGCCCGCGGCAGCTACCTCCGCGTATCCTTCAAGAACACCCGCGAGACCGCCCAGGCTGTCAACGGCTGGAAGCTCGACCGCGCCCTTACCTACCTCGGAAATGTCCTGGAGCACAAGGAGGCTATCCCCATGAGGCGGTACGCCGGCAGCACTGGACGCACTGCTCAGGGTGAGTAGCCCTTCCCACGATTCGCACAATGCGCAGATGGAACTTGGCACAGAGGAGGAACTATCGGGTGTTGGAGATGGATTTATGTTGGCAATTGCAGGAACACGGGCTGACTTCCGCAGGCAAGGCTTTCGGTGTCTCCAAGGCCCGCTGGCCCGTCAAGTCCGCTGAGATCCTCATCGGTCTCCTCAAGAACGCCGAGGCCAACGCCGACACCAAGGGTCTTGACACCAGCAACCTGATCATCAAGCACATCCAGGTCAACCAGGCCCCCAAGCAGCGAAGGCGCACTTACCGTGCTCACGGACGTGTATGTACACACCGGTCCACAATTGCACTCCCCTCTAACATACCTAGATCAACCCGTACATGAGCAACCCCTCCCACATCGAGCTCATCCTCACCGAGGCCGCCGAAGTTGTCCAGAAGTCCAACCAGACCCTTGAGCGCCGTATGAACTCCAGGCAGCGTGGCCGTGCCGTCCGCAAGGCCATCACTGCTTCTGAGGAGTAGAGGAAGCAGGGGAAGTTGATGTTCCGGCGAAGAAAACGGTCAAGGCATGGGCACGGTTTGGGAGTCAATGAGCGATGAATATTCAGGGTCTTTCCACACTCGTCATGTATTCATGATATGGCACTTCGATTTCTGCGGTGTCTGGTCCGTAAAAATAAATAGGGCCAAGGCCTGTTCCCAAATGTTCAAAGCAGAGACTTCTAAGTCGCAAGTTCACGATGTTCGCCAGTGTATTTGATTCCTCCACGATGACAGGACGCTGGATGATTCCAGTAGTACATCTATCCCAAGGTCCGGCCGCAGCCATCGACATGCTATTTCTTACAATGGAGCCAGTCTTCTACGCGTGCTCAGAACGAGCTCTGAAGGAATCCGCTGCTTGTTTACATTCTCGTAAGTACGACCAGGAATTTCAGGAATGTTACTAGAGTGAATTTGCGGTACGATGTACAGCAACATGGGCTGCTTTGACCAACTATGAACGCATGTCCGAATTGACCTCCACATGCATCGATAGACCCTGAGATTCCAAGATTTCCCGTCGTGTGCCTGGGGCTGACCGCAGGCTGCGCTAGTCGCAATGTGCATTAGCGTACTAGGGAACTTTGGCAGCTCGAACTCAGAATACCAGCTAAGCAAGGCCCAACGGCCAGCTAAGCATGCATGCCGCTAATATCTGAGATGAGGCTGGCTGCAAATCCCACATCATTTCCTTCGAGTCAGTTGCGGTCAGATACGATCTGTTGCCTTGCTGCAATTGCTCCGAGCCAACTTTCCCACGATCGATGACGCAGGCCCAGCAAGCCCAGGCATGGGCATGTACCTCGCCACAAAATGTGTCAAAAGATAAGTAGTCATGTATAGACTGGGATCTATCCGCTGTCAAACGTCTTTTTACACTGATCTCTTTCTTTACTGGTAACAGCAGTCGTTCTTACGTGCATCGCTGCATACCAATCTTCACTTCGCACCTACTACACAACCATGGCTCGGCTACACCAATCCACTCGCCACAGGCGGCAAACCCCATACCTCGCCTCTCTCTACGCACTCTTCGCTACCGCCGCATATGCGCAAGACTCAAAACGCGGTTTCGCATTCATTGGCGACTCACACGTACCGGACAATCGGCTACTTACTTCCGACAACTCACCACTGGCATGGTATTACAACTGGTCACCATACCCGAACAGCGACCTCATTCCCGCGGACAGCCTAGAGTTCGTGCCTATGATTCACGGCATAGACGCCACGGAAGACGATAACACCGAACGCGTCATAGCAGGCTTGCCCCAAAGTAGCAAGCATCTTCTCTCCTTCAACGAACCAGACGGCACCGAGGGAAGCGGCGGTAGCAGTATCAAGCCTGAAGATGCTGCGAAAGCATATATCGACTTTGTTGTGCCATTTCGGAATGGCGACAAAGGTGGCAGGAACTGGTTGATCAGTCATCCCAGTACAACGGGAAGTCCAAACGGTCTTGACTGGTTACGGAAATTCAACGAGTCTTGCTACGACATTGACTCCGAAAATGGCTGCCCGGCGGATTTCGTTGCTGTGCATTGGTACGGCGCTTTTGATGGTCTGGCAGGCTGGTTGGGCACCCTGGATGAGTTCTACAACACGAACTCGACGAGGGATCAGCCGTTGAAGCTTTGGATCACCGAGATGGCGCTTCCGCAACAGGACGAGGAGAACACCGTCGGCATGATGAACCGGACACTGCCGTATCTCGATCAGCTGGACTACGTTGAACGCTACTCGTGGTTCGGTGCTTTCAGGACAGATGATGCCAACGAGTGGACGGGCGATGGCGTCGCGCTATTTGATGATGATGGCGGTCTGACCCAGCTTGGTGCTCTGTACTTGGGTAATGGATTTGAGGAGGGACAGAAGGGTGAGGGTGCTGAAGAGGATGCGGCGAGTGGGCTGAGGGTCAGTGCTGGACTGATGGCTGCATTGTCGTTGTGCGCGGCCGCGTTTACGATGCTTTGAACGATGTATATGATACACTTCCTTTTTACTGTAGATACCTTAGCGAATCGTATATAGCAGCGATGAAAGTAGTAATGACGAATGACTCAATATCTTGGTGCCATGCCCAGGTGTGGCTCGCACTGCTTGAATTCTAGCGCGGTTGACAGATAGCCGGTCGGATCCGGCAAAGTTCACGAAACCATCCCCTCCATCCAGCTGCATACCCTGACGATAACTCCATCACCCAGCGCACATACTGCAATGATGAGGACACAACTGCGAATTCCGAGGAAAATTTTAGGGTAGTACGAAAACTTCGCGAAGGAATACTGAACTGCTGTAGACAGATTGCCGAAAGAAACGTATGTCGCGTCGCGATGTGCCTCTTCCCACGTTTCACGCCAAGCCATTGTAGATCTGTCGAAACGAGCCAAACACTTCATGTCAACCACTCAAACACCAACTACTTCGATACGAACCCACAAAACTAATGGTCTTTAGTCCGGGAGCTATGATCCGATTCGCTCCTCTTGCTGCAACACTCGAGACACAATAGCCTGGAGAACCATCTGCTTACCACCTCAAACAAAGTATTGACCAAGCTTTCTCAAACGCGAGATAAGCTTTTCTTGACTACGGCGCTTACAGGATACAACCGCGACTAATACGGTCAACAGTCTATTTCTGTGCCGGCACATGTTGTTTCCTTTGTCGCCTGCATAGCCTCACCCTGTTTGAGCCTTGGCGGCTATCCGTCCTGATGCGCAGGAGAGCCATATCGGACACGAATATTGCCGAACATGTGTGGCGCGACGTGAACTGCTTTAGTTGGTCATCCACATCAAAGAAGATCAAGGTGCAGCGCGAATGTCAGATGGGAATAGTGGGACAAGGTGGGAGGCTAAGTCAAGGAAGAGCTGCATCCGTTGACCTGAACGTCGAAGACGAGACGAGTGATAGGTTAATGTATAACAACAAACAGATGCCTTAGGCTCTAGAGTATCATATCAAATCCCTTGTTTCGTTTCCAGCATTCTGTCTGATATACGTCTTCCTCCCCTGCATCGATCACCCAACTCTCATTCATTCACCCAACCACCACACAACATGCGCTTCTCAATAATACCGACCGCAGGCCTCTTAATCACGTTGGCATCCGCAGCACCACTCAAGAAGCGCGACTACTCTCCCTTCCCACTAGTAAACGGCTTCCCAAACCCCTCCCAAGAAGCCGTTCTTCAAATCCAAAAAGACGGCCACGGCACTCTACCCAACGGGCCTCCACCGCCAACACTCAGCCCCGATGGCACCACAAACCTCAAACTCATCGCACTCAACGAACTCTTCGAAGTAGCATTCTTCACCGAACTGATGAGTAACGTGACGAACAAACTCCCCGGCTACGACCTCGGCGACCGCCAAGGCTACATAATCGAATCCCTGAAAGCCATCGTAAATCAAGAGGAAATGCACGTCCTCAACGCCAACGACGCGTTGAAACACTTCAACAACGCCCCCATCGAAGGCTGCAAATACAACTTCCCCGTCGTCGACTACGAAGGCGCCATCGCACTTGCAGCAACATTCACAGACCTCGTCCTCGGCACTTTACAAGAAGTCTCCGAACTCTTCGCTCGCTCCCAAGACTTCGGTCTCGTACACGCGGTAGCATCAGTAATAGGAAACGAAGGCTCCCAAGAAGGTTTCTTCCGCGCCGAGCAAAAGAAGCGGCCAAGCGCCCAACCCTTCCTCACGTCCTCATCCCGCGATTTCGCCTTCACCGCTATCCAAGACTTCGTCGTGGAGGGCAGTTGTCCGAACATTAACACCATCCCGCTCAAACGCTTCAAGCCTCTGGCGGTCGAAACCAAAGACATCAAGGCAGAGACGCAAAACATAAAATTCTCGTTCTCGATGAAGGACGCGGGTATGTTTGAGATTGATATGCTCAAGTTGGTTTGGATTAATGGGCAGAATGTACCCGTTGTCAAGGCGCTGCAGAATGTGGAGATGAAAGACGATAGGGTTATGTTTGAGGCGGAGTTTCCGTTTGAGGAGTTTGTTATGGAGGGGTTGACGATTGCGGCGGTGACGATGGGGGCGGATGCTTTTGCGGGGGCGGGGGAGGTTGCTGAGAAGACGGTGTTTGGGCCGGGGATCATTGAGTTGGATTGAGGTTGGTGAGGTGTTTAGTGTGCATAGCGACGGTGTTGGCTTTTACGCTGAGGATAGTGTTGCTGGTTTGTAGATAATTATAATGTCTTATATCTCTACCCATGCCCGTCTTGACCCTTAACGCTCATGTGTGAATCTCATCTGAACTTTCGGTCGCCCGGATCGCCTCGACTTCCATTCACAACTCGCTCATAGGCTTCGCCAGCAAAGTCCTAAAATCAACCGTTTCCCTAAAACTCTTCAAAAACTCTCTCATCGTGCTCGGCAGCTTGGGTTTATGCCAGGTCCGCATGATGCTCATTATGTATTCCTCGTCAGGGATCCGATTTCTATTCAAATAGAACAGCGAATTGCCTAGCGGCATCCAAATAGCCATGATACCCGTCACACCGAACTGCTCTTGGAGGAAGTAGTCGACTGACTTCATAATCATCCGGGCAAACGGTCGAGGATGCGGGCGATCAGGGTGCGAAAGTGAGGTATCGGTGTAAAGATCGATGCCGCTCGCGACATCGAGGGTGGAGTATAGGAAGAGGGCTGTCAACCAGTAGCGTACTGTGACACAGGCAATGTCTATGCTGGGAAAGGTGATTGGCGTTGCGTTGCTAACGATCTCGGGTGTGTAGATGGCGTTTGCTTCTGCATTGACCCAAGCTTCGAGCTCGAAATGCAGTGTCCAGCATTTTGCTATGGTGTATACTTGTAGCCCTTCTCTTTCTTGCTCGCCCAGATCTTCGAATTGTAGCTTGTCGATTGCGCCCAAAAGCTCGGGTATGCCGCAGAGGATGTCTATGAGAACATCGTCGGATGACTTGGTCCGCCCTTTCCAAGGTATCGTCTTCCACTCTTCCTCATTGAGTATGGTTGGTTTCCTGCCGCGGATGGCAGGACCAAGCAGCCGGTATCTTGCATTAGTGAAGAGTCTATGCGCTGCGTCGTTTTCCGCAAATATCTCCGGGCCACGACTGACTATCATAGCTAGCTCACCCTCACAGTGACTGAGCCAGCTTTTCGCCTGGTTGGTCGTATTCGGTTCCGCGCCGAACAGCATATCGAAGAGAGCCATGACTCGCGGTACAACAAGCAGCGACTCGCTACTCGCTCGAGCGGGGTTTTGTAAAGCCATAGCTGTTTCCTTGAGCGCTTTCCCATACAGTGTCCTTCCTTGCCGCGTGAGAGCTTCGTTATCCGAAGTTACCCCAAGCTGTGTTATGCCAACTGCCAGAGCAGCCATCTGTAGTGCTTCATCGCGCGTGCTAAGCAAGGGTAGCAAGCTAACAAACTCCTTTGCGTCTGTGTTGGTGGTGTGGATAACGCCCTGCGGGTTGTACATATTCAAGAAAGTCGCCATAGTCTTCTCGCTGTAAGCGGATCTCGCGAGCGCATCAGGCAGCATGATTGGTATCGACATGGAACATGGTTTCTGTGTTCCTGGAGTCGATACAGGGTTGAATTGCATTATCTGCATGCCTTGCCGAGGTGGCTGTCCGGGAGACTTCTCAGGCGTCGCATGGCGTCCTAATTTTGGTGCAGGACGGGTAGGTCCGCTTCCTTTCTGGTAGATGAAGATGCGGTCCGAGTCGTAGCCTCCGCATGCTATCCCGCGTTCTTTGCATTGACCGCACTCAGGCTGGACTAGATCGCACTAACATACATCAGCTTCACGTCTTGGGTGTTGCTCGTAGGCGCTCGCACTTACGCCCTTCTTTCTTTTTCGGCACGTCACGCAGCCTTTGGAGCGTCCTGGAACTCCCACCATCTCGTAAAGTTAGAGTTGGCGCATGCACGATGGATTTCGTCCGCTGTCACTCCTGTTCAGCGCAGAATGTTCCCTATATGGACATACATCGTCTGCCTGCTAGCGTAACGGTAAAGAAGCGCAATCTCGTAGGGCTGTGAAGCGCCTGTAGTAGCTGTAGGGCTAGCTGTTGATTGGTGCGCATTTGTCTATGACGACGGTCGAAATGCTTGGGAGGTGGCTTGTATGACTTCCACGTTGTTAAGCATCAGGCGTTCCACTATGTCATCTCAATCAACCAATGATGGTTCCTCGCGCCTTACCCTTTTCGGCTGATTCTGCGACAACTCGCGCTGCTGCAGAGGGGCCCCAGCTTTCACCGCAGATAGCTCGGTGTAGATCGAAGTAGCCATGCGATATCTTGATTACCATTGCGATCGCATCGAAGCCTTAACAATCGGTCAAGGGGACTCTCCTGTCGCATGGGGACCCTTTGCGGGGTTAATGCGCGCTGTGTACCTTCCGCTGACAAAACGTCTTCTCCTGCATACCAGCGCGAAATGTTCTCAATACGGCATGGTGATCGTCTGCACAGAGTGTGGTCAACTAGTATAACATGAAGCCAACTCTCCTCTCGAAGATGGCATACAACCAGCAACGACCATCGCCTCGACTACTTTCAGTCAGCTTCTACCTCAAGCCCTAAAAATCAATCGTCTCCATCAAACATACTATAACTACCTACCAAACCACACTCCTCTCCAAGGTTTCGGCATCAACCATCACAATGGTCGCCTCAGCCCCCACCCCCAACTTCTTCACCAAACGCATAATCCACCCCCTCGGCTTCACAAAAACCTACAACTTCTGGCTCTACTTCATCTTCGGCGGCGCACTCGTCGGCTTCGCCCTAGCCCGCGTCTCCTACCTCGACTTCTCGCGCAACTTCTGCCCCTCGTCAGGCCCCAGCTCCAGCGGTAACGGCGCCGCACCAGGAGAATGCTACTACTACCTCAACTTCAGCCAGTACAAAATCGGAATCCTTTTGCATCTCGCTGGCGTGCTACCGGCTAGTCTGCTCGCTGTACTGCAATTCACGCCGTTTATTCGAAAGAGGTGGATTATCGTTCATCGCATCGGCGGGTACGCTGCACTCCTGCTGTACATCGTCGGTCTCGTTGGCGCACTGATGATCGCACGGCATGCATTCGGCGGCGGGCTCGATGTACAGGCTTGGGTTGGACTCGCTGGACTGGCATCGCTGGGCTGCTTCATCGTCAGCTACATCAACGTCAAGAGACTCCAGATTGAGCAGCACAGAGCATGGATGCTTCGGGGCTGGTTCTACGCCGGCAGCATCATTACGACTCGACTCATTATGATCATCTCCGCGCAGGTCATCGCTAAGCAAAACTACCACGTCGTCTGGTCCTGCGCAAAGCTCGCCGCAACAGTCGCCGGCAACGTGGATCTAGCGTCTTCGTACCCTGCCTGCGCGGCTTTTGTCAACGGCACGGATCCTGAGGCTGTCTCCAGCGTCGCCGCGACGTTTGCGGTGGGAGGCCCGGAGAACACGGGGGCTGCGCTGAATGCGGCGTTCGGTATGGCGCTGTGGGTGTCGTTCGCGCTGCACGCTTTTGGTGTAGAGGTCTACTTGCAGCTTACCCCCAAGGAAGCGCAGAGGTTGAGGCAGATCAGTTATCAGAGGCAGTTGGAGGCGGGTATGCGCAATCCGGGCTCTGCGGGTCTTACGGCGGATCGCTTGGGGGATGCGGAGAAGTGGATTCCGGCAGAGACCAAGGAAGAGACCAAAGAAGATGGTGCGAGCATGGCGAGGACTGAGTCGACTGACTCTAGCGCTGATTTCCGGGTGTTTTAGCATAGTGTATAGCGTTTTGTTTTTCGATTAGAGTGCTGTTTTGGGAGCGAGGCGTTGGAAAAGTCATTTATGTAGAACATTAGTTTATAATCTAGAGTATCATTCGAAACTTCGTTCCTGACTTCTCTGCCGACATCGATAATTCATCAGTCATCGTTTTTCGCGATCTAACAACACCAGCCGGTCAGACCGCTCACCAAGGCAGCTGGAGAGGAGTGGACAGCTTGCTCTTCGATCCCAACACGGGTTCAGCAGTACCGATATCACTAAACACCTCGTTAGCTCACTTCCATATATCTCAGATCAACAACAACTTACCCAGGTCCCCTCGGCGCCCAGTACTGTCCAGTATGACTAATATCAAACGACTCAATCCACTCCACCAGGCTCTCCGCAGCAACCTCAGGTTCAACCGCCCCTCCTTCATCCCAGAACTTATCAAAGCCCACATTACGGGTCATTCCCGTCCGCATGAAGCCCGGATGAACAGAGACAATCGCAATCCCCCTATCCCTCAGATCTATACTCAACAACTTCATGCACATGTTGAGCGCCGCTTTGCTAGCATGGTGGCCGTAGTTGCCGCCGCCTTCAGATTCGTGTCGCAGTGTTATACTGCCGCTTTCGGATGAGACGAAGACGATCTTGGAGGCGGAGGAGAGGAGCGTGCTGTTGTAGTTGGCGAGGGCGGTGACGAGGATGGTGGGGCCGATGGCGCAGGTGGTGTACATGCGCTGTTGCGCGGAGAACGAGGGCTCCTCAAGCGATTCTGTCTTAAAGTATCCTGCTGTTATGATGACGATGTCCAGATGTGGTATGTGGTTTGATTCAAGAAAGTGGACGAGATCGCTGCCGACGTGTGGGGATTCGAGATCGACGTTGGGGATGTATGTTATGTTGCTTGCTAGCATGGGTTAGTCCAATAGAGCATCTCCAAGGAGTAGGAATTCGCCTACTGTTCTCTGGAGGCTCTGACGCCCTCGCGGTCGCTAGAACATGGTTGTTCGCGTCTGCTGCGTATTTTTGTACGATGCTCGCACCAAGGCCGCGCGTTGCGCCTACAACGAGTATGGTAGGCATCTTGGTGGTAGGAATGAAAGAACGAATGCTGTGAGATTGTCAATAGGAGTTCAAGAGGTGAAATACAAGGCTCTGGGTGAAGGATCCCGATGACGTAGGTGTGTGTTACCCAGGTGTGAGATTGCGCTAAGATAAGGACGCGTCCCGGGGTCGCGTCTGGGAAGAACGCTCACCTTCCTGCATCTTTCGTCCCAAACTACAATTAAACGCATAGTAAGATTTTTTGGGTTGTTTCAAACCGGGCGTCCTTGGCAAGAAAGTCTGGTCATGAACCTCATCTACCTAGGTATTTCGAAGAGAGAACCATAAACCTGTCAAAATCAAATAACCCAGAAGTCTACATGACCTTAGGGATGTGTTCTCTACGTACCAACCTCAAAAGCTCCCTCAACCAACCCCCAGAATTCCTCAACAATCTCCTTCTGCCCCTCTCCTCCTCTAACCGCCATATACCTCTGTCCCTCAACTTTCGGGTCCCAATTCCCCGGATTCGCGTCCACCATAACGCCGCCCGCCTCTTTCAGAATGACCCACCCGGCACAAACATCCCATGCCCAACAACCCGCCTCCCAGTAAACATCCAGCCCACCACTCGCCACACCACAAAGATTGAGGGCTGCAGAACCAAACGACCGCAATCCATGCACCATACCCCCTCCATTCTCTTTCGTAGCAGCGAGCTTCTTAAAAGTTTCGCTCTTGACCTTGAAATCATTCCCACTCCTATCACTCCCCCACTCGACCGCTACCAAACAGCTGCTCAAGCCATCCAACTTCGTCGGCTCGCTCAACGGCAGTCTCGTCGTCTCATTCAAGTATGCACCCTGTCCCTTGATCGCTGAGTACAGCGTTTGTGTAAACGGGTTGTAAACGATTCCCACCACAGGCTCCCGGTTTATGGCGAGCCCCAAAGAGATGCTGACGTAGGGGTAGCGGTGGACGAAGTTTGTGGTTCCATCGATGGGGTCGCATATGAAGGTGGGGTCGGCGGAGAGGGTGTCGCCTGGCTTGTAGGTTTCTTCGCCCATGAAGGCGTAATCTGGGTATTTTGTGGAGAGGGAGGTGGAGATGAGGGCTTCGACTGCGCGGTCGGTTTCGGTTACTAGGTCGACGGCTGTGGGGTGAGGAAGGAGGGTTAGTAAGGGAGGTTTGTTTGTGGATTGAATCGGGTTCTGGGATGATGAGGTGCTACGTACAGTTCTTCTTTGAGCCTGAGCCTTGTGTGGTTGGCGTTGCGGAGGTGATGCGCGAGCCGGCTTGTTTGGCGATGGTGATCATGAAGTCATGGACTTCTTTGAGGTTTACGTCGGCCATGTTGGTTGTGTTTGTCGGCTTCCTCGACGGCTTCTGTTGTGAGGAGAGAATTGAGGTTTGGTGTATTAGTGGAGAATACTGAAGCTGTGTTATGTTGTGTTGTATAGCTTCCAACCGCCAGAGCTACCTAACTACCCCTCGGTGGGGCAACAGCGGGATGCAGGGTCCGCCACGTGGGGAAACGGCGGCCTCGAGCGGATGGCATTGCGATGTTTACCCTAATTTCGTTCCAGAGATAGAGAAGCTCATACAGTTAAGAGACTAAACCAGTTTGCGTCTACATCAGCATGAAGTCAAAGTAGCATCTGTGTAGTCGTGAAGGGCGAAGGGGAGGAGAATATATCAAACATCACAAATCAAAACATGATATAGCGGCGGCAAAGTTACTTCTCATTACCACCACCGCTCCAAATCCTCCACAGTAAGTCTTCCATTCCAAGCGGTCCGGACCAATCAGTCACCGCATCGGACACGTCTCCACCAGAGAGCGGTGTCCTCCAGCACGATGTCTTCCTAATCCACGCAGCACCAATGCGTCATGAAAATGAATGTCCCCTTCTTGTTCCCTTTGATATGTTCGTACAACAAGCCTAGATGCCCAAATAGCACAAAACAAAGGAAACGCAGTTTCGTCGTCGTCGAGTACTCCTCTCTGCAAGCAGAGAAGGGGGAAATAGGTTCGTTGAAGTTGTTTGTTCGTTGGAATTAAGGGCCAAAGGGGGGACGCGATGGGGGTGAGCAAACTCCA